TTTTGATATTGAACAACTCCATCAATATTACCAGCAGGATACATATTTTGAACCAATTCTACAAGCATTTTACACTAATAACTTATCTTTGTCACCTGTTATCCGTAACTACGAATATATTAGCAAACGAATATATCTCCAAAATACTTCACGACTAGTTACACCAAATAACAAACAGTTACAAACTTTATTTCTGCAGGAAAGTCACAATACTATACTGGTCAAAATCTGGCATATTGGACATCTATCAGGCACTTATTATGGTACCTGATAGGTACCTGATATATATTTTTTGACATATATCAGATACCCGATAAGTGTCATTTTATTCCCTAATATCGGACACTTATCGGGAACTTATCGGTCACATATACTACACATATCGGACACCTATTTTTTAGCTATTTTTTTTATATCAATTGGGTACCCAATTTTTTTATTCAATATTGGGGACCTATCAGTAATATATTCTCTCCTCTGATAGGTGTCTGATATTTTTTTATTACATCTATCGGGTTCTCCGATACTTTTATTTATTACATCTGTCAGGTACCCGATAAGTGTAATAGTCATATTGTATTCAAATGCTTTTTCCAAATAAATCATGCAAATTAATAGCTTTATTTATTACTGCACAAATTTTATACAATTTTATATAATATATATATAATATACCCAATATCCATTTATTTTTATTAATATAATTATTATTGCATAATAAATGTATGAAATTTAAAATATTCTAAAAATATACTATTATAATAAAAATATAGAAAATTTAAAATGTTCAAATATCCTAAAAATATACTATTATTATTACCATTATTATTATTATTATTATTAAATATTCATTATAAAATTGTTCATTTTCTTCGACTTTTTTTATTTTTTTTATTTTTCTTTGATGTTTTGTGATCATGCTTTCTTCTTTTATTTTTTGATGATGATGATGATGATGATGATGTTTGGTTTCGTTTTCTTTTTCTTTTATCAATCACAATTAAGTCATCATCATTATCATCTTCCTCTTCTTCAGTATCTTGATCATATATTTTTATTTTACTTTTATCTCTATTTTCAGATATTAATGCCTCTTCACTAAGTGTCCATGAAGGGGCCCCTTTGGGAGGATTTATCTCTCGATGGATCTTTGATACAATGTTTCTAATTCTTGGTTTATTTTGTTTCTTACAGATCCGAATTACTACTGGATCGATTCGTTTATGTAATAATTTTAATAACTAAAAAAAATATATATATTAATAATATGCCCAATAGGTATAAAAAAATATTATTATTATTTTACTTACAGCATCTGATCTCCACCATTTCTCATACACATATATGGAAGTTTTCTTTGTGATAAAGGTAGCATTATTGTTATTATTATAATTGTTGTTATTGTTCAGAGCATAGTTATTATTATTGTTATTATTATTATTATTATTACTATCATTATTATTACTATTATTATTATTTTCATTATCGTTTTCATCATCATCATCATTACTATCATAATCACTATCTATAATTGTTGGTCTTGCTTCTGATGATGATAATGACGATGTTGTTCTTGCTACTGCTGATGATGATAATAATGTTGTTGTTGTTGTTGTCATTAATTCTAATATTGTAATATTTTTTTTATTTTCATTGTTAATTAAAATTAATGAATAAATTTAAATAATAAAAATATTAACTTACCTTCGTCATCTGTTTCTTCCCATTCTTCTGAGTGATACCCAGTATCATTCAAAATCTTTTCAAGATCTTTCTTTGGATATCTTTTTATATACTTGTCCCCACCCTCTCTCATAAAGTCAACAGCCCGCCTTCTTCTTTTTTTTTTTTGTTAAAATATAAATATATATTTACTATACCCAATATATGTGTTAATTTATAAATTAAAAAAAAAGAACTTACATTACTCATTGCTGTATTTTTTGTTGCACGTCTAGAATTTCTTTTTACAAAGTCTTCACCTTTGGTTTCAATATTATATTCATGATGCTGAGACCTATGGCACCGCTGCAACATTTGTACTATATCTGCAGACGTAACTTTATATTTTTTGTTAATTTTTCTTTTTAATGGTGGTAGTAACTTCGTTAATATATCATTTTTCTGCACTTCCCAAGTTAATTCTTTTTGTATTTGATATATTGAGTAAAGATCAGAATTTGCTATAATAAATACTTCTCTCTATAAAATTAAATATTTGCATATTAATCATATACCCGATAAATATAATAATATAAAAATAATTCTATATTATACTTACCTTAATCCTATTGTATGATTTTTTATCTAAATGTTTGATACTTTCATTTTCATCTGACGAAGAAGAAGAATGAGACGATGAATGAGAAGAAGATTCTGATGATAATGGTGATGACGATGATGATGGTGATGATGATGATGATGGTGATGACGATGATAATGTACTTTTATTCCTTTTATTCTTTTTATTCATAATTTCAAAATAAAGTATCCTAATTTGACAAATTCTATTAAATATATAAGATTATTAATTATAATTATAAATAAATAAATAATATTATAAAAATAGATAAATAATATTATAAAAATAAATAAAAATAATTAATCCTACGATTTTTGCTTATTTTGGATTTTCCACTTCTTTTTTTTTAATGTTTTTATTAGGGAGGTGATTTATTTTTTTGTATTTCTAGATTTTGTCATATTTGAAAATTATCAAATTATTATGTATTATTTTGAAAAAAATATTATTTCATTTAATATATCTAATATCTAATTTACTACTAATTTAATTAAAATAATATTTTTTAAAAAAAAAGAAAAAAGAAAAGGTGGTTCTTTATATATTTCATTTTTTGAGTGACAAAATTGATCTTTAAGACAATTAATCATAAAAACATAATATTATATTATACTTATTGATATCAAATAATGATATATCAATATATCTACTTTCTGATAAAATGTTATTCTAATATCATAACGATTATATATATCGGACATGTTATATGATATTTTTAATAAATAAACGTATGATGATATTGAAGTTTATAACTTGCCAGACTTAGTACTCCAAAGAAAATATTTAAAGTTTGAGCAGAGCAGACTTAGCACTCCTGAGAAAATATTTAAAGTTTGAGCAGAGTCTTGTCTTGGTTTAAACTTTCTTTTTGGCTTCAATATCTTGAAATTTTTTATTGCTAAAATATGCTCAAACAAAAATTCAATGAAAAAGTTAGTGTCTGATATTTCACAAAAACACAAAAATACAATTATCGGGAAGTTGGTTGCGTTATATATTAATCTTAACATTACAATAACTGTAATATATCTATAGTATAAAAATATCATAACTATAAATTATAATATAATGTTATGTGTTATTGATATTATCAGCTGCAAGGAGATATTGTGCTCGCAAGGAGGTATTGTGCTCGCAAGGAGTATTTTGAGAAAATGATATTAGAATTCTTATAATTTATAGTTATGATATTTTTATACTATAGATATATTACAGTTATTAAATATAGTGTTGTTAATATTATCTGCTACAAAGTGGTATTGTGCTCGCAAGGAGGTATTGTACTCACAAAGAGTATTTTGAGAGAGTGATATTTAATGAAAAAGGGATTTGTTTATCTTATGTATAATAGGATTATGATCATTAGGTTTTGTGTACATATAATTTTACTATAAATGCTATAACTAATATGTAATTTATATATAATTAATAATGTAATTTATATAATTTATATATAATAAATAAATAATTTGTGACGCGAATTATAAAAAGCACATATAATAAACATGAATCTTCTCAAATATTCAGACGCGAATTATAAAGATGCAAATTATAAAGAAGTAATATCTACAAAATCAATAAACATAAATATTTTCAAATTTTGAGATGTGAAGTAAAATTACAAAAAATGTATATTGGCGAAATAATATAAACAACTTTTAAAAAATTATAAAAGGAAAATATTTTATTTTGTAAAATTTTAAAAAATTTTTCATTTAACATTTTGATTAAATAATTTTACTAATACATTTTTCACATACCTGATTATATTTTTAATATGTCTCAAAAATCTAATACCCAAAAAGTAACACCATTATCTAGCTCAAACCTCAAGAATATATATAAATATAAATGTAATTGCGTAGTTTGCAATGATAAAAAAGTCGAAGCAAAGATTCAAAAGAATCACACAAATGATAAAGATTTGTGGAGATTCATAAATGCAAGAAAGAAATAACTTGCAAAAATCGAAGCAAGAAAGAAAGATCATAGAAGTAAGATTATTAACTTAAAATATAATGTTGAAATAACTACTTTTGTGTATATAAATAATACCATATCGGATGTATATCAGATGCATATAGGGTGCCCAATATATCAAAATTTTTAATTTATATAATATTTTATTGCCTTTCTTAGGAAATGGAGATAATGGAGTTACATCGCCTATTCAAAGTAGTAAGAGAAGAAAACGAAATTTCCATCAGTTTACTCTGGATGAAACAACTATACCTTTGCCTAAATTAAAAAGAGATATTTCAATAAGTAATATACTTTCAGGGATGGATCTAGGTGAAGAAATTGTCGTGGCATCGTCATCCCGAACAAGAAATGATCAATTTCACAATCCATATATAAATGAGATGCCCGATACATTTGATAATGCACTTTTATATCATCTAGGAGAAGATCAATATGATAATAATGATAATGAAGATATAAATATTTTTGATATAGAAGAAGATGATGAATTATTTAATGGAGATGATGATATAGAAGATGACGTATTATTTAATGGAGATGATGATATTGATGAAGACGAAGAATTATTAAATAAAAATTTATTTATTGCTCCAGAGTTAGAAAGTGAGGAAGAAGATTATAAAGGTGTGAAATTGAAAGATAAGATAGATGTAGAGATACTTATTTGGATATTTAAATTTCAGCAAAGATATCAGATTTCTGATAATGCCCTGGAGGCATTAATTAAATTTTTAAATATTATGCTTAATTCCATTGATGAATCTAAGTTCTGGGAATTTCCTACTTCTTTATATTTAGCAAAAAAGATGTTAGGAATTTTTCAACCAAAATTAAGAATGGCAGTTTGTACAAACTGTCATAAATTATATGATTCTAAAATTATTTGCAATCATAAAGAAAACAATAAATTGACAATTATGCGTTGTAATTATGAAGAATTCCCAAATAATCCAATACCTTCACATAAGAATCTATGTAACAATGAACTCTTATCCCTTAAAAAAAATATGAACGGTATAGCAGCAATTCCTAAAATGCTATATTCTAAGCTTTCAATTAAGCAACAATTAAGCATCATGTACCAGAGATCTGGCTTTGAAAAAATGCTAGATCAATTGGGCACAAGAAATTATGATAATAATATTTATGCTGATATATATGATGGAAAAGTATGGAATACGTTTCCTTTTGATGGTAGTAGATTTTTTAGTCCAGAAACTGCTACCTCAAATTTAGGCCTATTGATAAATTTGGACTGGTTCCAACCCTTTAAATATACACAACATAGCACTGGTGCTATTTATGCTTCAATATGTAATCTTCCAAGAGCAGAAAGAAATAAACCAGAAAACATTATTTATTTAGGCTTTTTACCAGGACCTAAAGAAACTGATAAGAATCAAATAAACCATTATCTATCACCGATAGTTGATGAACTTAAGGAATTATGGAAGGGATGGAGAGTTCCTGAAACATATGAAAATAAAGATGGACTTGATGTAAGAGTTACAATAATAATAGATTCTTCTGATATTCCAACTACACAAAAATTATTTGGACACAGATCTGCAGTAATGAAATGTCACAGGTGTCCAAAAAAAAGTCAATATAGTGAGAAGTTTAGAAAAACTCATTATGGTGATATAGATAATTATGAACAATGGATTAGAGAATCTGCAGACCTCCAAGAACATAAACAATATGCTCAAGAATGGCTTAGATGTAATACCAGAGGAACAAGAGAATATCATTTCAAAGAGCATGGAGTGCGATGGTCTGAATTACTTCATCTCCCTTACATAGATCCAATCAGATTTGCAGTAGTGGATCCCATGCATTGTTTGTTCCTTGAGGTTGCAAAATGGATTATTCAATCCATATTTATTAAAGAAAATAAGTTAAATTCTAAGCAACTTCGTGCAGCACAAATAAGGATGAATAATATTCAACTTCCATCTGATATTAGTTGAATTTCTCCAAAGATCGCTATTGGAGAAGGATTTTCAAAGCTCACTGCTGACCAATAGAAGACCTTCATTATGATTTATGCAACAACAATCCTATGGGACATATTAGATGATAATGATAGAAAGATTTTGGGATATTTTGTTCGGGCATGTAACTTATTGGTTATTAGATTTGTTACTGAAGATGATCTGCAGGAAGTCCAAGAAAGATTAAGGAATATGTCAATAAATATAGAAAGAACCTATGGACCTGAATTTATTACAAGTAATATCCATTTATCAATGCATATTCCTGAATGCATACAGGATTATGGCTCTGTTTATAGTTTTTGGTTATTCCCATATAAGCGATTAAATGGATATATAGGTAAGTTAAATATATCGGGTGTATGAAATTATAATAAATAAAATTTAATACAAATCTTTTTATAGGTTCATATCCCAATAGTAATCAGCAGATCGAACCTGAACTTATGAAAATAGTACTCAAAAATTCGCTTGTAGATTATCATCTTTCCTGTCAATGGACATCTGGTCTCTTGGAGAAGACCCTTCAATTTCTTGCTCCGAAGAAAGCTGCTGGCAGCTTAGCTGTAACTAATGATTTTGATAGAGAAGAGTTACAGTATTTCATCTCCCTAAGACATAACATGTCCAATAAGATCTATGGCACTGAACATATACCAGGATGTATACTAAAACCTTCTTATAAAAAAGTAAATATTCCTATAGAAGTTCAAAAAATATTATGCAAATGGTATGCAATATTATATAATAGAAAAAAGAAAGATGTGAAGGCATGTATGGAAGTAAATATGAACCAACATGCAAGATTACAAATAGGTAATAAAATATTTGGGTCCAAAATCACAGGACGACATGAAAATAATGTAATTATATTAGCGAAGTGGAAAGCATATAGAGATGGAACAAGTGATATTTATCCTGGGGAGGTACAATATTACTTTGAACATACACTTACCCTTCCGAATGGATTCAGAACACATCTTTTAGCATATGTCAAATGGTATAAGAATGCAGCATCCTCTAGTATTAGATTTAAGCACAAATTTATGATACCCGAAAAATCAAATACAGAATTATAGAAAGCAGAATACTATGAGGAGAGCCAAGATTCAATTATAGCAGTACATAGAATATATGGTAAGGCAATTAAGATTGATTATCGGGTAGGAAAAAGCAAAAATAATTATGTATCAATAATTCCATTGAATCGAAGATTTAATGTTTAATTTATATTATTTTATCATGAATAATAAAGAAATAATCTAATAAACTTGAATATTAAGATATAAACTTAAATAAAAATTGATATTTGATAAAAGAGAGAGAGAAGTGTGTAATGAATAAAGTTAAAATTTTTAATATTTATTTAAACATGTGATATATAATATTCAACACCTAATTAAGTCACAACCCTAATGGGGGTGGCTTGAATATGTGATATATAATATTTAACACCTCACCTATAACCTTAATAGGTATAGCTTGAATACATATTTAGCACTTAATCAAGCCACAACCTATTCTATTATCTATATTTAATCTATATTACATAATATTTTTAATATTTTTTATTTATTATATAATTATACATAATATAAAATAATATAAAATAATATAAAATATTAACAAATGGAAAATATGGCCACAAGGCAACCAACTCCTTGCAGACAAGAAAAAGAAAAATTATCGAACTTATTGGACTTATGGAACTTATCGAACTTATGGAACTTATCGGACTTATGGAACTTATGAACTTATCGGACTTATGTACTTAAATGTTTCAAACTATGGTTGATCAAGAAAAATTATATAAAGAGGGATTATATGGATATAATGCACTCGGAAAAAAAAAAAAAAAGGAATGAAAGGGTTCAAAAATTTAATATTTCAATTTGACCGGCTTAACGAGAGTCCGGATATTGATCAATATCATTGATAATTTACCAGCAATCATTCCCATAAAGGAGATTTAAAGGAGATTTAAATATTATTATTTCTAATTATTGTTATCGTTATTGTAAATTGTTATGTTATTGTAAATTGTTAAATAATGAAAGATGAATAAATAAATTGATAATACTAATTATAATAATTTGATTTAACTCATTATCTTTTATTACTATCATCATTGATCCTTCATTCGTCATCATCATCATCATTATTATTATCTTTATTCTTATTATTATTATTTCCATCATCATTATAACTGTTTAAATTGTTTAATAATAATAAATATAAAAACAATTAATTAATTGTATTAATTATATTAATTTATTATAAAATGGATTATAGTTACCATAATTATTCTTGTCATCATCACCATCATCATAATTATTACTATTATCTGCTATAATTGTTACTATCATCATAATCAACTGTTTAAATAATAATGTTATTAATAAATTATTTAATAATAATAAGTATTAAAACAATTAATTATATTATATTAATTTATTATAAAATGGATTATTGTTACCATTATTATTATCATCGATCTTATCATCATTATTGTTCTTGTTGATCCTTTATCCTTCATCATTGGTCCTTCATCCTTTATCATTAATTGTTATCATAAACTATTTAAATAATAATGTTATTATTATTGTTATAATTGTAGTTAATATAAATTATTTAATAATTGTATTAATCATATTAATTCATTAAAAAATGAATTATTGTTACTATAATTATTATCATCATTGTCATCATCATTATTGTCCTTCATCTTTCATCATTGGTTCTTAGTCCTTTAGCCTTCATTGTTGGTCCATAGTTAGTCCTTCGTCCATCCTTCATTGTTGGTCCATAGTTAGTCCTTCATCTGTCCTTCATCATTATTAAAAACTATTTAAATAATGATGTTATTATTGTTGTTATAATTGTAGTTAATGTAAATTGTTAATAATTTAATTAATTGATTGTATCGTTATCCTTGTTATTACCATAATTACCATCACCATTACTATTATCATTATAAACTGTTTAAATAATAATAATAATATTATTAATTAATTAAATTAATTAAATTAATTTATTATAAATGAATTATTGTTACCATGATTATTATCATTATTATCTTCTTCTTCGTCATCTGTTATCTATTATTATAAATAAAAATAAATAATTAATTTTTATAATCTTTTCTCTCCATTTCAACTCCCTCCACCTCATTTCTCCTTTCACCTTGCTTCCCTCTTCACCTCGCTTCTCCCTTCACCTCATTTTCCCTTCATCTCACTTCCTCCATTTACCCGTTTCCCCCATTTAACCTGTTTCTCCCATTTACCCCGCTTTCTCCATTTATCCCACTTCACCCATTTACCCTGCTTTCCCTATTTACCCTGCTTCCCCCATTTATCCTGCTTTTCCCATTTACCTCGCTTCCCCAATTTACCTTGCTTCCCCCATTTACCTCACTTCCCCCATTTACCTCACTTCCCCCTTTCACTTTTATTTATTTTTTCCTTTATTTTTACTCTTATTATTATTATTATTATTTTTTTATTATTATTTTTATTATTATTTATTTTTATAATA